CATCGCAACCAGGAACACAGATATGCTAAGCATTTGTGTTCCTTTAATTGCTGACAACTTCGAAAGCGTTGTGTCTTTGCTGCCAAGTCGTCATTCCTCGTTAGAACTGGAAATTCTGGCCACCGTGCTAAGAGATGTTCGACTCATTGGTGTGTCCGTTTGTTGGAAGTTGCGAGCGATAGTAAGGTGGCTTGGAAGTGGAAGCACAGCTACAGGAAACGATGTGGAGGAGAAGGAAGACGAAGAGGTGGATGACGGAGCTCGTGTGGACATCTTGAAAGATGTCATTGCGTCTGTCGACCTGAGCACAATTTCTGTGAAGGATTTCATCGGTTTGACCACATATGATTGTTGGTTGAACCTATCGAAGGAATGTAGGTAAGCCTTCGTGATGGAAATTTCAATCCACGCGGCCTCAATCGCATGTTGTGCCCAGAAGAATTTGGGCACAGTAAATGTTCACAGTGTTGTGTTTCTTCTTTTTTTACGAATAGAGACGTAGTGGTGAATGCGTGGAGGGCGTGCCGTGCTCTTGATCATTGAAGAGTACATTATTTCTGGAACTGCGGAAACCGCATTGATTGGGTTGTGAGCAATCGAGCAAGTCATGGAGTACTTTGAGGAATCGCCAGCAAGATGGGAATGTTCATGTAGCAGTGTTGTTGTTGTTGATGATGTTTTGGTGGCAGTTAATGGAGATGTGATAGTGGTAAAAGAGCAAATTGCTATTGTTAGGTGACTATGATCTTGTTATGAAAAATAGAGTTTGCTGCTGCTGCATTGGCCGAGTTGCAAACCAAGTCGGCGATGCTACTGGGGCATCGTAGGATGCAGGTTTTGAAGAAATCTGTAGTCGACCCGGGAGCATGTCATTTCAATTATGGGGCTGAAGAGTGCATTTCACCTAGTGCAATTCATTCGGCAGTGAGCTTGTCCTGTACACTATATTCTCAAAGAGCAAGATTGTCGGGTTTAAGCCTTGTCTCTGTGTTTACTGCGGGGAATGGGTGTGGATTGTAGGGGGTGGTTGGCTTGCACTGTTAATTCACTGCCAAACGACGGCACCTCTATCGGAGAGTTGATGGCGCATGCTTGTGCCATATGTTCTGGTGTGGCTCACGTTTGTGAGATACACAAACAACCCAACCTTATGTCTTCGTGTTATACTATGCCGCATTTTTGTCAAGTGCTTTCCTGCAGTGAAGTTGTCAAAGGGTCGTTGCTAACGCCGAGTTCACACTAGCTGCAGTACGATAAGAAGGCATGTCTTGTGCAGCATTTGCCGAACCCGGAAGATATTTCATGGAGTTGCGCCAGAGCTGGCGGGGAGTCATTTTGCTGGTGGTAACATTGCAATTTGTGTTGTTGTTGCTGTTGAGTGCAACGACGCATGAAACTGAACCGCACTTGGACTGCACGGAGGGCGACGATGGTTTCCCAGGTAAACGTTTTACTCGCGTGGCACGATAGTCCATGATTTTGGCTTTGTGCGTGGTCACGTCTTCATTGTTGCCGCCGCTGTGTTGTCGTCTGTTTTCCCGAATTACCCCCGGACTTTTCTGTTACCCTGCATTTGAGGCCATCGGCTTTGCGTAATCCACTAAGCAAGTCGAATAAATGCCGCCAGACGTTGGCTGGATTAATTGGCACCATTGTACGTTGCGGATGCAATTTAATCTTTCAGCAGGATATCAGGAAGGTAGATTATAGGACAGGTGGTGCGTGATGCGAGATCGGGGCCGTGAGATGTTTTACGCTGTTCGAGCCAGGTTGGGTGTTTTAAACAAGTCGAGAAGGGAGAAAAGAGGATCTGCCAGGCGAGCGTCGAAATGTGAGGCCTGTGAGAGTGTGGAGAGATGCGGCCGTGTCGAGTAGAGCAAGAGTCAAGTGATGAGGCAGGGGTGATTGGTCGTGGCCAGGCCGTGGTAGGAACTGTTTGTCATCGTGTAAAGATTAGGCGGAGTTTGGAGGTGATTTGTTGCTGCAAGAAAACCAGTTGTCGGGGGGCCTGTTGCTAAAAGCTTTCTGTAGTCAGCATTTCATAGTGTTGTACTTTGGCTGTGTGATGTCCGTGCTAACTTGTTTTCCACATTGTTCTTTAGGTAGTGAAAAACCAGTACGTCAGTTTGTTGTTACACCGACTCAAATGTGCGCATTGCAAGTTGTAATTTGTAATCCTCAAAAATTAGCAACCATATTGCCTCACATATCTTGTTTAAGTTAAGACTCGACACTGGAGTATTTTACTATTGAAGAAATGCCCGAGGCATTCCTCTTGGTACTGTGGAAACCGCATTGACTGGGTGGCGAGTCATCGAACAGGTGATTAAGCAATCGCCAGGCAGATGAGAATGTTCAATAGACAGTCCTGTTGTTGTAGTTACACTTGTGCCACTATTCGTGGTGAATAAAGATGTGATGGAGTTAACAAAGCCAATTATTTAGTAATGGAGGTGATTCTACTGAGATGGGGTAAGTAGCACGTTTTAGACAAGTCTGTGGTCGACCGCGCAATGTGTCATTTGACAGTCTTTTCATGGTTGATTTGGTTTGTCCCACAAGTAAATGATAAGGATTTAGGTTAGTTTAAAATGCAGATTATTTGGTGCCTCTGAGCCGGTTTGGTTGGGCGTAGTGCTAACGAGGTCGGGTTTGTTTATGCGATAGTCCAAGTATCACCTCTGGGCAATGCTCCTCTGTTGACCTCGCAAATTTTCATTTCAGTGTCTTAATTGGAAATTTCTTTTCACGCGGCACACGGGTGTTCACGACGTCGGACAGAGAGGTCGCGTTCCCAAGTTGATTAGTGGCCAGAGTGGATGTTGGGTTTCCCAGCATGTCAAGAATGCATTGGAGTGAAGCGTTGTCAAAAGTGATCGGTGGCTGTGTGGAGGATGAATTAGTGAATGGAATACGAGCCTCAGCAAATTGGAAACATAGCAGCTGATGAAGCTGCGTAGGTCGCTGAAACACCTGTACACCTCTAGATGCAGGGGGGGCGGACTAGGACTTCAGACTTGCAAGCAGGTCTTCATTTAGACGTTTAATTTAGTCTTAGTTGGACACTAAGTTGATGCTACGGAAAATGACTGGCACTCAACACTCGAATCCAGCCGAAATCATCACATCGTACAATTTGCCCAGTCGATACATGCTGTCTAACTACGGGCATGCCAAGTATTCACTCTGCTGCTCTGTGTAGTCCAACCTATAAGTCGTGAAAGACCGGATTGGGCAGCGGAAATATTGGATCCCACCGAGCTCTGCCAATTCTCTGTCGGTGGGCGTCTGATTGGCCAGTGTTGAAGACCAGCAGCCAACCAGAGACAAGGACACATAAGAATCACTTAATGTCGGGTGGTGTGGCCAGCTTAGAGAATTCAGGTAAATGTGGCGCATGTCCTAAGTCTCTGACCATTAAATGACCAATAAATCTCAATTTGTGTATCTATTATACCCATACAAGTGATCGGTGTCAACAATTTACGTTTGCACTTGGTCTTGACCAATAACTAAGCCAAACGCCCAAAAATATCCACGATTTTATAAGTTGAAGAGCCTCTGCGTAAATACGCTTTGTACACTTTGAACAGTAGATCAATGCCCATATTTCAAGCGAAAGTAGACTGTAAAAGTCTACCTGAAAATCTGTCGACATCTAAGGCGTCTGCTGAACAGCTGAACGATTTTACTGAGTGGCGAGTGACATCTTACATTGTAAGCAGTTATGAAGCTGTAATCAAACGCGTTCAAGTTCATAACTGCCGTGATCATCGCCAGACCAGCGGCGAATGTGCCGTTGATAATGCGCTCAGGCGTAATGCGTCGTTGCAGATGTCCACAAGCGGGTCCGTGCTGGGTGCAACATGGATGGAACCTGATAGACTCAATCGCAAACGAAACCAGTTGAGCTGATTAATGCCTGAGGACGAAATTGCAACTACTTGGTAAATTGTCAGAGAATTTCAGAGTGGTTAGCTTGTGACGTGGCTCACATTAAATTGGGTGACGACTGTAATGTACAGCAGTGTGTGAGGCCTCAGTGGTCTCCGCCTTGTGTCCTTCCAGTACACGGGCTCGAACGAGGAGGCACGGAGACCAGTTCCTCCGTAAAAACGCCGCAGAACCAAACCGCATGGTGACAAGCTGAGTGAACATGAGTGTCATCTCAACAGCCTAATGTCAAAACAGAAATTTCCTTGTTGAGATATGCTCTTGCTGGGATTTTCCATGGTGGCAAATATGCACTTTGTTTGAAAAATAAATCGAACACAACGGTTTGCTTTGAGTTCGTTAAGTACCCAGATCTGAAGTATGCCGCGGTATTCGTCTGCTGTCGCGTTTACTCCAAATAAGGATGTGTAAACAGGTGTTTGGGATGGCCTCAAACACAGTATCATCTAGTGAGTCCTGTTCATGCTTATTTGTAACCTCTGGGGGGTCTTAGTTCGATATTCGAACTCCTCTCCTGTTCACTTCATTACTTGAGTTAAATGTAGCCACTTCGACGAGAACATGACGTTTTTAAAGTCGTCAAATTCAAGAATAGTTCACCCCTTTAAAGGACATTGTGTGCTTTTGGTTGTTATCCGGACACGAAGTTAACACAAGCAGAAGCATTCACGAAGGTAGTTGTAGATATCTTCTAATGCCACACTAAGTAGCTAACTCAGCCACGAATGTTTTAAGGCAGTCTTCTGGCACGAATCTGCTTGTACCATATATGATTGAAATCTATTCTTTTAATTGATTACCGAAACAGTGTAAAATATTTACGAGAACAAGTCTCAGTTTTTTACCGTAGCGTCGTTGTTGAATGACGGCGACGTTATGGCGACAGGATTCTAGGTCGTCCAAATTCCAACCTGGATGTAGCAGGAGGGAATTCCCTCGTGTCACACGAGGTGCTTCAACCTCTTAAGCAGATTCAAATCTCAGCGTTAATCACGGCCATCTGTGCAGCAGTAAGCTGGTTTGACCTAGAACGCCACTTACACAACGAATTCCACAGCAACCAGAATCCTTGTCTGGGTTTGGCATGTGTTTTTGCCTAACAGGTGCCGTGTGTTAATCAAATTATTCACTGGCAGTCTTAAGGGTTAACTCAATAGCCTGTGCAAAACGCAAATTCACCAATCAGTTGTCTGTGTAAATTCAACTCTTTAATTTACTCCGCTCTGGCTTGCTCAAGTGACCACTTCTTTCTCTGTTTTTGTGCTTTAAAGGAATGTTCTGCTAAGATTGTCTTCCCAGTAAAGTCTGAGCACGACAGCACTACACCCCGGAATCGCCTAGCAGTCGATGAAGCTGCGTAAGTCACTAAAAATCCTTTACATCACCAGATGGCTTGTGCGTCGGACTAGGCCACTAAATGCGCAAGCAGGTTTACATTTAGACGTTTAATTTGGGCTTAGTTAACCACTGAGTTGATCCTACAAAGATTGGTTAGCACGCCACACACGAATCCGGCCAAATTCCTTTTGTATCCACTTTCCACACTCTCAGGAGCGCGTGTGCTTGGTCTGGTGAATGTGTCGCGCGAACTCGGGACAGATAATCATCATGTTATTAACTGAATCATCGTACAAGCAAACTTCCGGCCAACGCTGTCCGGCGTTTCTTAGTGTAACACGGCTCATAGCCTTTGCTAACTCGAGCGGTGCACGACTTGGCCTCGTCTACCTGGGAGAAAGATATCTACTGCAAGAAGCAAATACGAAATTGAAAGTTTGTTGGTGCACTTGGCAAGCTCACTGACCTCAGCTCAAGCGCTCTAATTTCTAGTGCTGTGATTGGTCAAGTAGTTGTTGATTGTGCGCACTTGGCCCGATGTTTTTTCCTGCTTGTGTGATCATTCCACCGCTAATTCTTCCGTGGGATCATAAAATGACAAATTATCAGAAACAAAATTAACACGTCCACTAGTGCTTCATTCATGTACTGTCGTATTGTAGTGTTGCAATTTCAGTGTTGAACTCGGTTACGACTTGCTCGCATTTGCATGGTTTAAATTCTAGTTGGTTTTGTGGTACTATGAGACATAATCTCACACACCACACGCACCAGTGCACACTTGCAGTTGCTAAGGTCGACTGCAACCAGCATGTGCTGAGTACGTGTGAATGTGACATTGTTACCACATGTACGATCATGGTCACACCATTAAAAGGTGAAGGGAACAACCAGGTTATTGGGAGATCTCACTTCCTCTGCACTCGAAACCGCGGCTATTCACTCGTTTCAAATGTTGACCATTCCGAGCTGAACCTAACCGCTTCTATCTGCGTGGTTTCATCAGAAGACACTACCTCAGCTCACATCACTTGCCCTAAGCCGACATCGACTGATGATATGTACTAAAGTTAATTGCTTGAACTTGTCTAGAAATTGTCCCTTTTTCTGAAGGAGATATGCCATTCTGTTCTTTACGGGGGATTTAAACGGTGGCTTGCATTCTGGTTTCGAAAAAATACCCTAGTTTTATTAGCCGGCATTATCAAAGGTTACACTGCATGTTTACGCTCGAATTCAATGTTCTTTAACAAAGCATACTCAGAGGTGTGCATAATCAGATTACTCGTAGGTGTGTTTGCGTGTGAGAGCGTGCCTGGTACAGGGCACTTCAGTTACTCTTGAAGAAAGCACCACGTTGAAATGACACTGAAACCAGGCCGTAAATCATCCTACTTAAATACCTAGCAGTTTGGGAGCAGCAGCGGTAGTGAAAGTTGAAGAGCGCTTGGTCGTGAACATCAAACTAATTGAATACACAAAATTGCGTGGCAGTGTAATGCCTAAACAAGCGTCAATGCCACAAGTAGAAGTGAATGAACCAGGGATCAAACCCATTGATCGGAAGCTGAGAAAATTAGCAAGTCTAATTTCTCATGCTGGTGTTTACGTGCGCTCAATTAAACCGACTTGTGTTCAACTGGCTACTGCCGCATTCCTTCTATGGTGCAATAATTGTGTTCATCAGAATGCTTATGTCATGAAAATCAACCATTTCTTCCAAAATAAGACCAGATTGACCAACTGTGTTAAGGTGATGAGCAAAGAGGGGACATTTCGGCCATGGAACTTTCGAAGACAGATTCAAGTACCTCTTCGGATTCACGCAAACGTTTACAACTCCAAGTTCTAGTTTGGAGACTTCGATGTAGGTAATAGCTTTCTAGAAGTTCCGATTTTATAGGTAGATAAACTTTCGCATTTACCAAAGTTAAAAAGTCACTTTTGTCTACGTAGGCGACCACATTTCCATTGTACTAACGTTTATGGGGATTTTAACACATGAGATTGGTACTTTAGCCAAAAATAAGTTCAGTGAAGTACCCACGCGCAAGCAACCAAGACAACCAGACAATTCTTTTCCCATGAGAGCAAACCACCAGCATGAGGTCAACCTTCTGCTAGGGAGCGTACTGTGCCGCTCAAAGGTGCGTCGTCGTCCTTAAAGGTTTTAATTTCGATTCGGGCAGTCAAGATTTGAGGCAATTAAGCAGAAGTGTTCTATAAGCCGATTGGGGTGAGCCTGATCACAAGTAGACGTGTATTAACTGGTTCATCTGATCAATATGCAAGAACCATTTTTTTTGATCGGAAACGTGCATCAATAACGCACATTGGACAAACGAATTGCAATATTTAAAATAAGCAAGTCTTATTTGTCCAGGCTGGGAGATATTTGGTAAAATGTGTGCATGTCGATATACTACTGTGTGCTATTTGTACTAACTACCTTGTAACATCATTTGTGATTCAGTGAATTACATGGTTCTGGAATATGGCAATTTTCTTGATAACTTGTAAGCGTCTTCTTGAAAACTGATAACACCGTATTCTTTAAGTGGCCTTCAGTGGCGTCGCACGATTATCCTTACTTTAAGTGAATCAAAACCTTGGAATCTTAAAAAAACATAATAAAATCGTATGTTTCTTCTTCGAAGATCAGATTAACGCCATCTTGATCAGTTTTCTTTGCACTGCTTAGATTAGAAGTTGCGTTTTGTAAGTACAGAAGAACCTGATTCATTTTGAAAATTAAAAACCGCAAAAGTGGAAAAGCGGATGCCCGAATCGATAACGGATTCTGTGTCCTCTCTGTTTCTTATGCTTATGGACACACAAGCATTTGCATAAATTACTGCCCGTGTGTGAGTTTCGACGGTAATTCAAATAAGTTGTGGTAAATCAGTCACCGACGCAAAACTGATAGGTTTTCTTGAGAGCTGCCAACGTCTCCTACTTGGAAGTTAAAATGTGAAATCATTTGTCTAGAAACATAGTTACAAGAATCTTTAGTATCGCAGATTGCTGGAACACATGCATTTTGGAAAAGCTGGACTTAATCACTTGATTTTACGATCAAGCAGGTGTGAGAGCCGTGGTCTTCCAAAGCACCACGAACAACAATTCCTTACCTGTGCCATTAATTTTTGAATTTGGCACAATTTCAGACAATTGATTCTGCTTTCCTGCATCACTGAAGAAACGATGTGGCTCACAGTGGCACGAGGTGCTGCCAGGTAAAAAGGCTGATTTCATTGGTTCGTGTGAGCACACGACTTGCATTATCGACCTACGCGACAATACCAGTGCTCACACAAATACTTGCACACAGCCAACTCAACGGTCTTCACAGGTATCTCCTATGTTCCACTTAAGACTCCACCACACGTTACTTTAATGACCACACGCAGGCAAGCACTGTCAATGCAAGTGATTTTGTCAGTTTGAAACAGTAAATTTTTACGGTGACCATTCCATGTACCTGCAAAGCAGTGAAATCGATTAACTAGAATTAAACGTCAAACAAGTTAGCAAAGTGCCAATATGCAGGCATGAGCTGCCTGATTCCTTAAAGTCACCTTTGAAATAGCTTGCCTTTGGAGAGTATTAAACGCGATTAGTGGAAAATGAAGTCACGATGTGATTGGTTGACCTGAGCTTTGATTGGCTTAGCGTCAGGATGCAATTGGTTGGCCAATTAATCATTTCTATCTCAAAGAGCCGAGACGTGGGAAATAATTCAAATTATTATTGTGCGACTTTGTAGATACTAAGCATTGAGTTAGAGTACTTGCTTTCGCGTGCATTGACGCTAACGTTGCAGTGGCTAGTGGTTAAATACATATTAGTTCTAAGCGTTTCTGTGTATAGAATTGATTTTGATTACTTGCCGTGGCACAAATTATTCACGAAATTTGATTAGTTTCGCCACAGAAGTACAGATAAGCCCTAGCTGTTTGTTTTTTTCAAACCAACAATGCTGATTCGCTAATGTCATAATGCAGTTACTTGGACAGCATGCTGCGTGAATGATAAGCACACTTGCTCACAAGTCATTCAATTGCCAAATTGAGGCCCTCCACGCCACTCATTTAGACCAAGAATCACACAGCACCTCAGCAAAAATAAAATGAGCAATATTTTGATTGATATGCGAGGGCTTGAAAACATCCTTACAAGATAAGCATGCGCCAGTGAAAGAAGTTTTTAATTGGCTGCGTTCTAAAATCGCGCGCTAAATCATCGTTTGTGAGAGGTATGGGAGCAAACATATGGCCCGTTTGTAACAAACATGGACACTGTAACTCTAAGACTAGCATACCAAATTCCAATTGTGAAAACACCCATAGCTATTAAATCAGAGTTTAATTGAACACTGCAAATAGCCTCGATAAATAAGCATTCACAAGACGTAGAAAGAAAGGAAAAAAGTTTCTATTGCCTAGGCCCCGACCATTTCGGCGCATGCGCGAGAACAAGCATCAAAGAAGTTCTTCTGTGCACGAACAAGGTCAGTCAGTTGAACATTTTGTTCGTCCTAGGGGAAAGCACAAAAATTCGCAATATTTTTTGAACGGGCATTGGCAAATATATTAAAGAAATTGGGGCCAATTTCACTCACAAATTTCCTACAAGTCTCCTCAAAGATGGCAACGGCCTCCTTGTGCACCTTATCAAACTCCGCCTCATCTTTTCTCATTTCAGCCTCTAGCTAAAATGGATGATTTAGACTGTAACACTGGGTGCTGATACTTTGGTTGTCATGTTATCACATATTTAATGCAAGCAAAACATGCCTTGGCTTTCTGTTCTGCTGATTTGGTGTTTTTGAGCCTGTTCTTATTTGAGTCAAGGTCCAGGCGTGCTTCCTCCAATCTGGATTTCGCTTTCTAAAATGCAAATGACACATGAAGTGATTAATGTTCTAGAAGTGAGTGTTAGTAAAATGGAAATAGGTTGCCAACCTGAGCCTCCTTGACTTCATTGTTCAAGAAACTTTTGAGATCGTCAATGTAAGTGGTATTGATTTCAGTGTTGAAGTTCTTTTTGGCTGTTGCCAATCCTTTTTGCACGTCAGAAGCATTCAACAGCATTTGAGCTAAATAAGTGTGTAACAATGTTGTTAGGTGCGCATAATCAAATTTTGGCCAGAAGTAAATGCTTACAGAGCTTCGGTGCACATTCCTTTGACTGAGTGGCAACTTCTTCCATTACTGCACCAAGTCTATCGGAAGTCGTGGTTTTTTCTTTATTCTTTTGGAAGGTTTCAACCATTTTCGTGGCTGCAAAACCAAACCATTTAATTTGAAAAAAATTTACGCAAATAACGTGAAACTTTTTACATTGGCGATAAAATTGGGTCGGATTTATCGAAATATCATCACTAAGCTCGTCGACCTATGGAAAACATACCCCAAAGCTGATCAAGGATCTTTATAAGCACGTAAAGTAAACAATTATTAGTTCGGCTAAGCATAGCCGTTTTGGGTCCAAATAACTATACTAGGCAAACCCTAATCCTCCCATTAAACATATCTGAATAGTAATAATACAAACAAAATAAAATATACTCAAAATTGTGTTTTTTACTAATGCAATCTTGGATACAGGAAAAAATACGAATGTTCACATCAAAAACTCCCAAAAATAACCGAAATTTTGCTAAAACTGGGACACATATCAATGAATATGAAATAAAATACATGCAAAAAATCTTACCAACGGTTATATCTACATATTGCTCTGTTGCTGTGATAAGTTTATTAAGCCATGTTTTCATCTGATCAATTTGATTTATTAATTCCACGGTTCGTGAAGGATATTGAGTTTTGTCTCCAATGTTTACTAACTCCCCAGCTGCCTAGATAACACAAAAATGCAAAAAACACCAAAAAATTACCTGGGTAAGCCTGTTGAAAGCCTTTCCAAAAGATCCAGACATGTTCACCTCAAGACTTGACAACCAAGAACTAGCTCCTCGGCTTATTTAAATTATCGTCTAGGTCAACTGCAGCGTATGGGTGATTTAAACTATCCCTCAAAAATATATTTCCCTGGATAGCATTTCCATGAGGAGTTGTATGCTTGTTTCTAACTAACGTTAAATAAGTAAATTCTTTAAATTCTAAAAGGCTACTGAGGAAATTCTTTGATTTTTTTAAAATTATCCTTTTTAAATTTCGTTTAGACAACTTCAGATAAATTAGTAAAACAAGGGTCTGATGGCCTCCAAGTTGAGGCAAGAAACCATTTAAAAAAATTCTTTTAATAACTGATGCAGGACCGAATATTCCTCACTGAATTTAAATTTTATTATGTAATACTGTTCAATTGGTTAAATTTAATCATTTTGTGTTAAATATTTAGTTGTGGGAAAATTGACAAGCGCAATAAATTTCGCAACAATTTTGCTCTCTACGAAAAAAAATCCAGACAGTAACTTAATGTGCTTCCCAATTGATGCCCGATTCCGATTACATTTTTCAATGATTTCAGGACAGGACGACTACTATGGAAAATGAATCCATTTTCCATTACTATTATTGCAAATTTTTATCTGCCAATTTATATATTCTGCAAACATTCGCCTGCAAATTATATTTTCCTGACATTTTGTATCTAGGTTTCAAAATATCCTCATATTACACATCAGGCCATGCCTTTGATTGTTTAAAAAATGGTTTCATTGGAAACATGCACGAGAAATTAACATTTGAAATCTATTATAAATCTCTTAGCCTCTAAAGATGGCTAGTTATCTATTAATCTTACATAGTGCCCTTTGATTGGGCTGCTTTAGTAGGCAGAAATGAAGTCGCTTATCATTATTGGGGCCTTTAAATAGTGGTCAAAAACCATTATGGTAAATAAATTACTTGAAGAAAATAGCATGACAAATGTTTCGCTGCATTTTTTCGTAATAAAGCAAATTCTTGCATATTGCTAGAAAAAAAGTTCGCCATTATCAAAAAAGTTATAAAATTTTTATATGGAATTTAACCATTGTGTTACAATGCTGTAGAGTGTAATCCGAGAAACATTTAGTATCTCTGGTTTTAAAGATTCATTAATTAAATACTTTGATCTAGTAAAAGAGATCACTTTTTGGCACACAATGTGCGTCTTACCAAGGCGAAAATTGGTATTCAGATCTATTTGCCTAAGAAAAGTTTGGTTTCAGCTTATGTAAAGTTGACGAGGGTGCAATGAACGCAGTTCGGAATACTTCTCCGGCGTCGATTAAGGCTGCGATAATAAAATTGTAATGTTTTAATGCTACAACATTAAAAACATTTAGAAAGCGTTATCAAAAAATATTGACTCCGTGTTAAATTTTCATTCCCTGAATTTTCATATCAAAGTTTAACATTTATAGCAAAGCTCTTGAATGGTTTTCAAACGGCTCTGGGCCTGCAATGTATCTTGACAAGACTTAACAAGTATTAGGAGAATATGGAGATAATACGCAATTAAAATGATGTGCTGATACCGTAAATGTGTAATAGGATCCGTTAAATTGATTTCTGATCAAACATATCTACTTGAAAAACATCCATGGCTGTATTTAAGTTCTCTCACGCTTGCAAACAACATTTGCTCACTGATGTGACAAAACACGTTTAAGGAAAATTTTTTATTTCAAACAATAATGTGAAAAATGTGTCAAGCAGTCAATAACTTATTATACCGTGTTTCTACCTAAATAGATTAAAACGTGATCGCAGTGCTATAATTAAAACTTAGTGTTTAATAACTCATGAAAACTATGATGATATTATGATCAATCCGTGATTCAAATTTTAGTCTTACCGATTGCTACTAACAGGTCACTCATTAAACAAGCGTGTTGTATTTAATTTAAGATGCATCTAGCGTTTACATTTCTTCTTTTCTTCGAACTAATACATAATTTTGTTAAACCATTGATATAACTCTTAGTAAGTTTACTTAGATATGGACGAGATTCGTTAATAAAAGGTACGCTTCCGATTTGTTGCTACGATTACTAGCAATGTCGGTTGATTGCAACATATCGCGGGCTAAAACGATCAAGTAGGTGTCAACGCAGCAGTTTTTCTTCAAAATATCTATGTTGCATTTAATTAAAAGTTCATGTTACACCACGACATTTAACTTTTCAAACTTTGAGAGTTTCAAATATTAATTAGTTATGAATGGTGTCTAAATCCTTAATTTATCGGAAGATGCTGATTTGCTATCAGTTTCACAATATCGGTCACCATTTTGTTATGAAGCAACCTGTTAAGGACACGCAAAAAGTTAAAAAGAATCCACTGGAAAATAGAAAAAAATTTTGATGTATCGACACGATTCATGGCCAGATCTGTATTTAATTATTCCGAGTACAGATTATCGTAATTTTGTAATATTATGATCAATTCCTGGAAAGTTGTCTTTTCTATTCATGTCTTCATTAGATTCCATGGTCACTCCTGAATTGACTGCAGCATGGTCATAATATTTTGCATGTTTGACCGTGCTCAGATAAGTTGATCCAAATGTGCAGATGTGGTCAAACATCAGCGCAGATTTTATTAAATTTTTGTCAAAAAAATGATGTTCTGCTGCTGAACAGTTATATTTTAACTTATTAGACTTAAGTTTAAAAAGAAACAATGCATAGGGACCCACAAAACTCCAGTTAAATGTGCTCACTAAGTTTGAGTAGTAACTTTGTTGACATTTCTGAAAATATTTTGAGGTCGCCTAAGATTTGAAAGTTACAATTAGGTACACGTTTAAGGTTTGTTTTTATCTACACAATATGGTTTAATATTCCTATTGTTAAATTTGTCTGATTGCCCTATTAATCATTGAAATTGAAATTTTTCGGCATCGCACCGTTACATCATCATGAAAACGGGAATATAACTAAACTAACTAACTCGAGTTATTGCAAACATCTTAGAAGCTATTAGCCAAGCTAAGAAAATAGTCCACTTAAAAATGAAATTTGGATCAACATAGATATACAAAAGAGTAAAATACACAAAAATTGGGTTTTCGGATGCCCAGGTTGCAATTAAATTTTAAATACATGAATGTAGCCATATTTTCGATATGAAAAATAATATTTGTTAGATCTTAATGTGGATTGAAAATATTTAGTGTAGAGGAAATAAAGAGTTGATAAAAATTTTTAAGGTTAGAGGTCTTAACTGAACTAATTTTCTTAGTAAATTGATTATGCCGTGTGTGATGTGTGAATGCAGTGCCTGGTACCATTTATTTATTCTGGGTGTTTTGAGGACGATAATTCCTTGTTTTAGCAGTTGAGAAAATGTTTGATAATTAAAAGGTGTTGGCCAGTTGCATTTAAGATTAAAATATCGCAAAAAAAGTTATTGAAAAAAGTAGGACTAAAGCATTTACAAGTCACGTAGTATGAGTGATTTAAAAGGTTGTTATTTATTTTAAGAGGTGCTGGATTCTTTCTAAAAAAAGAAATGCTAAAAAAGGCAATTTATGAAATAATGTTGAAGGTATCTAAATCAAAACATCCAGAAGCTTCCAATAAATTTTTCGTTTTGGTGGAACAACATCCTTTTATAAATATTCACTGATGTTTTCTCAAATGTAACATATTAGTTAAAGCCAATAGTATCTTTTTTTCTGGCGCATTAAGCCTTTGCGAGTTATAATTTATATTGTTGTATAATGTTTTACACAACTAAAGACCTAAATATACCCATAAACTGCATCATATAATCATTGTTCGTTTTACTTATTCACAAGTAACTTAGGATAACTAACAGCATAAAAGTTTAAATGAGATAGTGCCAAAAGCACTAGACAGGTTTTTCTTTGTAATGGTGATGTTTTCTACATTCTACTTTGTAACCACAGTAGAAGTAGAAGCCACCTTAAAACCTCTAACAAATCACTTAATTAAAAAGATTGCGATACATATTATTTCAAAAATGTATTACTGTTTTGGGTTTAATTTTTGTTTAAAATTACTACTTCTTTTAACATGTTATTATCGGTTCAAACGCGCGGTTTTCCGAATATGCATGATTCGTGTGTAAATTCTCTAGGCCACTTTGTGCTCACTTTTGTATTATAACGACAATATTACCTTAACTGAAACCTTATTTTAAGGTTAACAATACTATTGAAACATGTGGCAGTTCCTGCTGCTGCTTTTTGTGTAAGGTCACCTACTTTACTCACTCACTAGACTTTTTGACTTTTCATGCGGAGTCGATAATCTTATTTTAATTGATGAGGATGAATTTGTTTCGAAACTGCCAAGTCACAACGATTGGGACTTTATCATCCAGGATCCTTATAAGGTAACAGCGTGTTTTCCTATGTATTTTTGCACGAGTATGGAGAGGCCTTTAAAAATACTTTTTTTAACGTAAAATTTATCAGTCTATGTTTTAGTCGATTGTATGTTTTAAGAATTTTTTTTATTTTGCTGTAGGGAGTTGTGGAAGTTCTTAGATCACCAACGAACAAATTTCAAGTTCTCCTTAATGCTTCATTTGGCGATAAGCCTGATTTGGGGTTGTATTACACCATTCGAACAGGAAGCAATGAGGTTTTTCTGCAAGTGGTAAGTAGGTGGTTAAAGTTGCATTTAGCGGAGTAATTTTTGTGTTCAATTAACGTTAGATCGTGTACACTAATCCGGGCAATAGTACTGTGTTTAAGTGTTTTTTTTTTAGTTTCTTATCAATTTTCCGTACTAATAGGCACACCTTTTTCTCCAAAAAAATTAAAAATTTTGCTAGACATTCTTTTGTGTTGTGGGCATTAAAACATTATCCAATATTGAAAATGAAATACATTCGGAACCGTTAACAATTTATTTAAAAAACCTATAAACCGGACAGCTCGGGATTGCTTTTTTTAATTTTCAAGTCAACCAGGGTGGTTCAACAGCGACTTTATGCCGATGTGGAGGAAGATACGGTCTACTTACAACTTCTACTGATAACCGTCGCTTCTTTGGTGTTGGTTGTTTTTGTCGTCTCAATAATCTTTTCTTGCTGGTGGATAAAGAGTCGCCAAGAAAGTCTGGACACTGGTATGTTTGTTGTCGATATTACCAATGTTCTGTAACTGCCTTTTTACCCTAGCGAATGTTAAGTGGTTCACATTATCGTTTCTATCGCTATTGTTGAATCTTTTCGACTGTATTCAATAGAATAATCATTTAAGACACAATCTGCGCTTTTTTATGAAACACAGGCCACTAATCACTTAATGTTTCTAAGGTTATCTGACAACCAAATTCAGGTTTTAAACGAAATCAACTTCCCACTTAATTCTTTCTTTCTTATTTCGTGTTTCTAATAATTGACAACAGGTTGTGTTTTGTCATTTGGCGTTATCCGTAACTATCTGGCTAACGGCCTTTTCGCTTTAAGCATGTTGGCACTTTAATTTGCTGGAAAAAGTGGTGGCAAGTCGACAGTTAAGATTACCTTAACACCAATTAGTCATGGAAACTCAATCACAGGCTGGCTTATTCCATCTCAAATGTCAATACACCTTCGTTGTTTTGGTAGTCCGTGGCTAATTTTAGAATGATTCAGTAAGTGATCTACTTGTTTTGCCTCCTTTCCTCTAAACCGTGGCAACACTAATTGAGTTAGTCAACGCCGCGTCAAGAGTAGTTTGTCCATTCGGTGAAAGTGGGTTCGACGGAAAAATCCCCCATGCTCATTGGCTAATCGTCCACCCATCTGACCAATCAGCACGTGCTCTCATTAAGTCGCTGCGGATCGCGCGTGCTAGCAGAGCTCTTCGAGGGCAAATTTGTTGGCCAACCAAACCTGTAACATTTACTTAATTTTTGGACGCACAGGCCTCGATTTTGGTCAAGCCCACCACATTCGCTTGTGTGATTGGTTCATTCACAAAATAGCCTAAAATTTGGGGGGGGGGGGGGTTATCGGTAAAAAAAACTCGTGACAGAGTTAAAATGGGGGTTTGGTGTGCGTAATCTAAGGTTTAGTTGGTTTTCTACTTTTTCCAATGGCACGCCTAACCAGCTGCTTTTCCGCAAGGTTCGTATTACGTAGACGCTACTGAAATGGTGAGTTCTGTCTAGTAGAAATGGTTTGCATGGCCTGTTTTCGTGTTATGCGCATGCCCTTATGAAGTGCTCATCGTGTAAATTAGTGATAATGTGTAGGAATGCCTACTTATGTTTTGTAAGTAGGCATTGTATTATCAACACTTATGTTGGTTGCCTGCGCCCTTGGTCTTCGCACTGCACGGAGTTTCCTCCAAGGAAACCGCATATTCACGTGTGCGATTTAAACTTTTGCTGATTTCGCAGCCCGAATGCAAGACGGACTCGAGGGTTGATGGAAACGGCGTGGAATCCGTGGATGCTGAGATTGAATTAATTTCCTTGGGACAGAACCCTTACAGCAATGAAGGCGCAGGCACAAGGGTAAGCAGCACACATTTGCTCGTAAGGCACCAGCCTTTTTAAAAAAAATAGGCAAAGTGCTTTCTGTTTTCTTCAGAGTTATCTACTCAAATTCGTATTTGAGTACTATTGTGCTATCTTAGTGGTTTTGTTCTGCCTATAGAACTCCTGGTCCTTATCAGCAGTACACATGAACTAATCATTAGCTCAAGGCTTTATGCATGTTATACAATCACGAACAGCATTACTGGCAGTCTCGCTTCATCTCCAAACACTCATTTATTCAAAAATCTGATTACCAATTTTGATTAATTTAGCCTGGTGGTAATCGTAAGTTAGTGTAGGAGAGCTATCAGCTCGTATTTGCCATCGAGAATATAGGAAATCGATTAAGGGTGATTGTAGAGTTCATTCCTGCCTTCTGATTGGTCTTCCAAACCCAGGCACTCACAGGTGGAGAGTACACGACATTCGCGTCGCTGGCAGAAGAGCTGTCAGCTGCGAGGTCTGGACTGTCGAGCAGCGATCCGCACTCGGCCCTCCCAGGAGTAACCCATACCCTCCCCCGCTACACCATCGCGGGCAACAACGGCACATCGAGTGGCAGCGGCGGCGGTGCTGCGGTCCCTCTCGGGGTACCGCCGTCAGTACTCTCCCCGGCTATCGCCTCCACCTCTAGCACCTTCGGCGCCTCCCTCCCGCGTATGCCCGCCTTCGAAAGAACCGCCATTCCTGGTGAGTTCTTCGATGAATCTGTGCGTGTGTGTGATGTCACGCCACAATGCCTACTTATCGTTTTTCAGTAGGCATGAAAATCGGCCTAGCCTCGACAACCGGACGCACCCGCCACGTGGCGAAGGAGTTCCTGGACGAGTCTGTGCTGAATGTGGCGTCACGGAGACTCAAGCCGACGACGGACCAGACATCGCTCAGGCGTCCGCCGCTCTCCAACCTCGTCGCCACACCGTCCAGCACGCAGCAGGTCGTCCTCGTTCCAGCTGTTTCGGGCAGCGCAACTACCGCCGATCAGGCGTTCCTTTTGGCTTCGGCAGCTGGTGAGGTTTCGCATTTGTAGAACTGTGGCTACAGCTGTTGTTGTGTGAATTAATGGGCTGTCGTGTGAGTTGCACGACTTTTGACCAATAAGACTACACCTCCATTGTCTCACCCCTGATTGGTTATTGTATGCGTACTGTGCACGCTCACTCCTTCATCCCATTGGCTCACGCACACGTGCTGCCGCCAACCAGGCAATTGGTAGCTTTATTGGTGTCATTCACGGTGCTCATCTTTTTGGTTTTATTCCCCAGACGGCGTAATGCGTCCACTGTCACCGATCGGGGTTGTGGAAACACTCGGACCGTCGGCTCTGGTGAGCGGTCAGCTGGTGAACCCGTGCGAAATCCATCCAATCGCGGTGTCGACTCCGACAGGCGCCCTACTCGTGCAAGTGGATCCCACTCAATCGCCCACAGCGACGTCCGATGTGAGTGTGGTGCGGTAAATTGCCGATGCGTCGATGCGGGCTCCAGTCTTCTGCGCCAAGGGGACTGGTTTTTATCTATTACTGGGTGCGCCCGCGGTGTTAGACTGAAACCCACTTCACAGAGGCTTGCCTTGTGTAGTAGTGGCAATTCAGGTGAACGTGAGAATGTCGTCGTCGTTGAGGCATGCTCCCACTGGGAGTTTTCGGGGTGACAGAGCTCTACTTTGTTGGAAAATGGAATCGGACATCATAGTTTGCCTTGAAGCATGCTGTGGTGTTTGACTGGTGTCACTTTTACTTGGAACAAAAATGTGGACATGTACACACAGATCCTTGAGATGGTCGTTTGCGGCCTGTGGCGGTTCTTAATTTGAAATGCTACCATCTAGCCTGTTAACATCGTTCACTGGGTGGAATGTAGCATTGTTGATGAGATTATGACTCTTTTAATGTCGTCAGCTTCAGGGATATTTCACATCCTCACAGAATACGGTACTTTTTTTAGCTGTAAACTGCCACGCGAACCTGACACAACTTGGAGGTCAATGCTGACGTCTTATAATGACACACTAAGTAGCTGATTCATGCATACCGATTTCAAGCCATCCTCCTCTCGTTTCGCAACTCTTTGGCACTTGTTGGTCGTTTGAAACCATCTTTTTCAACATGACTAGTCCTTCTTTTGCAACTTCTTATGCCACGTTTCCTCCGTGGTGGTGGATGATGAAATCTTAAAACTACTGGGTTCGTTAGCACTTAGGACAGGCTGATCCAAGTTCGTTCGCATATTTAAACGATGAGAGACGTTTCGCTTATAGGTATCCGCAAACGCCAAATATTCGAGCACTTGTACATCTCAAATGCGCGTTCTCTGGAAACATTTTCCCACAAAAATGTCAGTTCGAACTAGTGCACATTTCTTCAAAGTGAAATGGAACGATCTAAAAACAGTTTCATGGATCCGGAGCTCGGGTTAGTGTTAGTTTTTTTGCTACCAGTTAAGAGCTACTTTCACGACTCCACATTGTTGGAAAAGGGAATCGAACATGATGGTTTGCCTTGAGGTCGTGAGGCGCCTGGTTCCGAAGCCTGCTGTGGCATTTGACTGGTGTCGCGTTTACTTGGAGCAAAAATGTGGACATGCACACACAGATCCTTGAGACGGTCGTTTGCGGCCTGTGGAGGTTCTTAGTTTGAAATGCGACCATCTAGTCTGTTCACATCGTTATTCGCGCGGAATGTGGCCTTGTCGATGAGATCATGACCCCCTCTAGCGTCGTCGAATTCAAGAATATTTCTCATCTTCGCAGAGCATGGTGCGGTGTTGACACAAGCAGAATCCCACTAGGATGGTAATTGCTGACGTCTTATAATGACACAGTAAGCAGTTAACTCAGTGCTACGTTTGCCCGTAACAAAGAGGAAACCACTCAAATAACGGTACCAGATTCCTTGTTGACGCTAGCACCGGCCTTCCCATGCTGATGCAAGAACAAGACCAGGCCTCGTGTAGAGAGCTCGAATCGCGTCATTCACGTGCGAGTGAGTCGGCAAAGGTGAACGCTAATTCGTCTCAAGGTTGATTTTGACCTGATAAAAAGCGTAATAAAACTGATGCCAAGAATCAACGATGAACAACCTTGGGACAGTCTGCTCACACGAATCTGAACGCACCCCTAACTCGGTTCAACAATTTTCTTGAAATAATACACCGGAGTAATCCTTTCACGGAAACCCGGAGCATGTTTGAAAGCGCGTCTCACGAAAATGATTGTCTTTAAACAAACTGAGCATCTTCGGCCTTGAAGCTATTGGCTTGTCAAGGACGTTGGCCCTTTGACCGTCCCTATTGGTTAATTCAAGGTTTCGACGCATTCACCAGTAAATATACATCGCTTTTACAAAACACTTTTGCATAAATGGTAGTGTGGTGGTGCAAGCTCCGGTGATATATACGCCATCAACAATTGTCTCACGCAGTTACGACAAGGCTACGTTACAATCGTATTGGTTAATACCAGCCAATGAGAAGGCGACAGGACGTGCGGCGTCTTAGAGTGATCGTGAATAAGGACCAATCAGCTTGCGTGAAACCTGTTCGAACAAACTTGAACTCACGCGCATCCCTTGACACCCCAAAATGTGAGCTCCAAACTAAGCACCAGTTGTACCTCCAATCTTGGTAAGGCTTAAGTCGTGTCGGTAACTTTTGATTCTTGAAGTCCTTTTCAACACTTCGACAGTTTAATCTCGGGCCCAGCAACCAATTAAAAACCAGGGGATTATCTGTGTCCCTAGCTGGGCGCCATGGAGCAAAAAACGGATATGTCAAATTACACACGGTTATTTCTAACTACTGGTGATACATCATTTCTATTTTACGTAGTTTCAACACCACAGTCCAACTTTGCGGGCAGCCGCCGGAGCACCTGTCGGTGGAATGCCAATTTTGGCGGGCGATTTACTCGCAGAGATGGCGGCATGCCCCCAGCACAGTTATCTTGTGCGCCAACAGATAGATTCCACATTTGAGACGTCTCCGCCAATCAGCGTGGCCCCTGTTGAAACCATAGGTATACTCTTTTTTGTTTGGTTTTCCTTTTAATGTCCCAAATGTGACAGATTTAAAAAAAAAAGCTTTTTGTAGGTACTGCCGCGGCCGTTTCTAGCGTAGCATCTCAACTTAACGAAGAGACACTGGTAAGTATTTCTTTGTGTTTTGTTAATTACGATTTATAGTGTTAGAATTCGAGAACAATACTTAGGGCAAGTTCCAGTACCTCCATTCAAATTCATTGGTTGTTGTATTTCCCCTGCCAAGGTCACAGAGATAATCCGTGCGTTACCATTGGTGCGTTGTGGGAAGTATTGCATCGTCGTGTGAACTGCATGTTTTTCAGCCAATGAGACACTACATTTTCCCTGTCTTACTTCTGATTGGTGCCCACGCACTCATGTCATTGGTCTACGCTCACTTCCCTTGATCATATCTCGGGGGCTCTGTCTGAGTTTAGTGTAACAGTTTATAGTTTTCGAGTGGTTCTGCATATCTACTTTCTCATCATGCGTCATGTCAGTGCACCGCATTGAGTGCTCCGATTAATGCAAATTCTTTCGCCCCTTCCCCCCTTACTTCAAGGTCGGTGCACCAAGTACTCTAACTCATGACCCTCCCGACCCTCCTGTCTCCGATCCTCAACCCGGAGCCGAGATCCCTGCTAACCCCCCTGACGATTCAAGCCAAATTTCCACAAAAATTCCGCCTCCTATTACTCGACGCCAGGTCAGCGATAAATCACGCATTTTAACCAATCAGCTTTCACGAATTATTTGCATTTTAACCAATCAGCTTTCGAGGCAGCGAAATTGTAGAAAACCAATTTCATTGCTTACTGCGTATTACTTGATAGTGGAACATAACGAAGAAACGCATTCTCGAGTTATTTCCGATCACTGAACAATTGATTTATCCATTAAACGATAATATTTGCAGGCGTCTGCGGGGTGTTCTGAAACGCTTCCTCGATCAATGGGACGCAGTGGTTCCCACACTGATAGCGTTGACAGCGATCTCAATAGGCCGGGCTCTTCTGCAACACTTCCAGCAGGAAGCGGTTCGGGATCGGCACGAAAATCAGCTCTCAAGGGTCCAGGCGGATCCAAGGTCAGCAAGCAGTAAGTAGATCACACAAAACGTGTTACTTAATTTATGTGAGTAAGGCGTTGTTTTGACCTACCGACCAATTAAACACACTTACTGCCTTCACACTCTTTTAGGATACGTTTCACTTTCCTCAACCTCGTGGCCATCTCTTGCGTAGTAACGGTTGCCATGGCCTCAAGCGTTCTTACAGACTCCGAAGCCGACGGTGCTAGTGTGCATGGCGTAAACGTGATAAAATTTCCATCTCCAACGCCTAACACCACTGCCTCGGCATCCGAACGCGTGGATGCGCGTCATACAACAGGCGCATTCCTTCGCGTCACCCTGTGGATACCAGATTACTTTGCTCTGGGAGGGGAGGCCTCTAAACGCCTCCAAGGCCTCGACAACAGCACTCTGCGTCGGAAACCGCCCGCTTCCATTCAACTCTGGCTCAACCGCACCAGCCGCACTGAAGTCCACCTCGGACCGAACGTCCATCGTAGTGCCGTGGAAATCTACGGTAATTTTATCTTTCGCTTGTGGAAATTTGAGCTAAGCTCGGCTTTCAGTGGGCTCAAGATCTCGTAAATGAAGTGCTACCTGTTTTAAATTAGTAGTGCTTATGTTTTGTTGAAACATGGTGTGGGTAGAACCGCAGCATTATTGACGAGGCCAAAGAGTAACTGTGGCGAACTAATACGAGCATTCCATCTACTTCAAGCGTGCGAATTCAGTCCATTGAATTGGCGTCATTCACTTTGTCAATGTCACTCAACAAATTATTATTTGGAGTTAACATAGCAAATCCTTCAGCAGCACTCGTCACATTCCACTAACCGGGGTTTTTTTTTGTTTGCTTCGATTTCTGTTGAAATGAATTTGACTGGCGTCGTGAAGCTGATTGGCTCTCGCTTTTTTTCAAGCGTCCCCATCTTCTGCTCCTTGGCTGGCATTAATAGCATGCCTGTAACGCCTAGAGTCTCGTTTCGTCGTGCCAACTTAATCACCCACCTGGTGACCTTGAATTTGTGCAAATCGATTGCTCTGCGGAATCATTGCACTACTGATTAACCCCAAAGTACTATAGAGAGTTTCGTGTGCAGAAGTTGGATCGGGGCGGGATCGTCAAGTTCCAGCTGAAGTGACCTTCATCTTCTTTCCACCACACAAGTCAATCGAATCTCGGCACTCTTTCACGCTCCAGGCACCACCTCGTCAAGTAGGCACACCCAGTCACCCCTTGGCTTCAACTCAAGCCAAAACATCTCTGCGTCATGTCGTGGTGTGCCCTCGTGTGGCGGATGTAGTGCAGTGCGTGATTTCTGAGCGTGTGTGTGGGTTTTTCCGTTGATCACTCGTCGATTATTCGTGATTACAGGGCTCAGTTTACTGCTTTCGTCTACTAGACGACTTTGAAAGGGGAAGGGTGAAGAAGATGAATGGAGGTGTGTTGGTGTAGGCGGTATGATCGTTCCCCTCACACGACGAGTCAGCCCCCTTTGTGGGGGCTAGCGTCTGGACGTTGTGGAATCCCGTCAAGCCTGTTGGTAACCGGGATTCCAGAGCATTTTCTGGCACACATCGAAACTGTTGGTGAAGCGCATTGGTAGGCGCTGGACAACTTCGACTCGTGACCCCGAAGCATCACGCTCACCCCTCCACGAATCACAGTGCTGCGCGCATCGTGAGCCACACCCAGGCACACACCCAGGCACACGCACGCACGCACGCGTGATGTGCACTATAAAACGACAGACAGACAGGCTAGTGTTTATGTGTGTGCGTGTGCGTATTGACAAGGCTTAGCTTGCTTCAAAGACCTTACCAGCGCGATGGCAGCAGACGACGATTACGCCAAAATGGAGCTCTGGAACCTCGAGATCATCTTCGCGTAATTTGCCCTGACGCCCTATGTGTGTACAATAAATGCCCCTTTAATGCATCCTTGTCAGTTGTTTGTTTGTCTAAGGGTTGCAGCGACGCCTGTAATTGACTTGGTGTCGTTGGGTCGCGCTAGAGTCGTGATTGTGGGCTTGAAAGCACGTGTTCCACGCACCGCGACTCCGTTGTGGCCCTTGCATCAGCTTGCTTGGGTTTGGTACGAAGTAGTCTTCGTGTAATACCTCGTTCTTCACCAACGTACTCCCTGGAACTCCGTAATTAATCTAGTAGACATCCAGCTCGAGTTGTTGGGTAGTGGGATCAGCGTGCGGCTCCTAGCGATGGATGGTTTCGTGAGGGAACCCAGCCTAATTGAGTTGCTGATAAGTTATCATTTCGGAGCGTCAGCGATTAAACCAATCAAATAAAGCGTTTGTCAGATCTACCAATGAGCGTTATCATTTCGTTCACATGGCGTCCTGTTCAGTGATTAGCAAAGTACGGACTGGCAGCCCTTCCTACTGCGTTCGTTGACATTGCGCCTTCAGCACAAAGAGACCTCGTCGGTGTGGATATCGTGACGTAGTTTCTTCACTATGCTTCATTGAACTTGGAAACTCCTCGTAGATCCTGAAGGCCAATGCTTGGTGAAACACCACGTCTGGTGCCTACGTGCCCACGGCGTGGCAACGAGCGGAATTTGAACGTGCCCAATCGCCATCTCTCTCTCTCTCCACAACCGGTCGAGGGCAGTGAACATGGCCCACCCTCTGGGTTTTGACAAATGCTCCTCTACCTCCCAACCCGTGGCTAGGGGTCGCGTCCAGCCCAGCCGATTTATGTCGCACAAGAGTCCGGCCCCCACTACGGGTGTAATTTACGGCCTCTTTCAGCTGGACGCGGGTACAAAGTGCAAATTAACCCTGGCGTGTTCACGTCTCGACACGCAGCCCGACCTCCTACCGCCAGGCCCGAACTCTCCAGACACATTCCATTGGCAATTCTATTCACGACTGGAAGATCAGTCTTTTACCGTGTACGGTTCCCAATTTTCCTAAATCTCGACTAGACTGAGATGATGTCCTGTGTCTGGCTCGTCATTCGGTTTAAATTGTCCACTTCGTCTGACGCAATTTGTGGCAACAATGCCAAGCACAGTGATGACACAGTGTTGCCGAGGTTTTACCTGTTGTGAACCATTGAAATTCAGCCTAGTTGTCGGGCAAAGTGGCAACATTTTGCATAAAATTTCAACCATGCTGCGACCGTTTCTCCTTTTATCGAATTGACAAGGTGAGACGGTGGCAGGTTGATCGTGCTGGGTGGTAGAGCGTGTCCACTGGCCTCCAAGCAAACACACCACCTTTTAAAAACAACTTTAGACGTCGTAGAATGCCAAATCGCAACCTGGAATTTGTGGTCAAATTCGTCCATCTCGTTTGAACTTGCTTACGCCATATGACGACTCCAGTCGTCCTAGAAGGCGGCTGCAACCCCAAGAAAGTAGAGTCGATGTGAATCCCGGCAACTAACTATCCATCCGAATTGCCCTGTGCCATCCAAGACGAGATTCATGGCAGGGGATGGCTCGAGCTACTTAACTCTACTCCTTCTGGTTCTTCTTATTCGGCTTCTTCTTCATTTCCTTCTGATTGTTCAATTCACGACAGGGATTCAGTTTAAAAAGCACACTTAGCACCAGCAAGCACGCGATTTCTCGTAGTACCACGAGGC